AAAACCTCGAAACATTATTAAAGTTTTCATTGGAAACACATTGATATAGACAGCTCTCTCTAGGAGACTGTAAGTATTATTATTTTTTATGTGTGATAGTGCAGAAAAGTTGATATAGAAATTACTTCATTCCGGTAGAATTAACGCCAGTGACTTTTTAAAAAAAACATCTGAGACTTTCTGAAGGGGACTTATAGCGCAGCAAATCAAAAAAGGAGAAAAGCTGGAATCAAACACAAGCAAATGAGAATGTTACATATAGCAAAACGTGTAATCAAATTTTACATTTCTAATTTCGTTTTTCTCATATATTTAAAATTATTTAATTTTACCCATGAAATATGGTGCTATATCAGTCAAATATATTTCATATTTTATAAAAATAAATATGAAATATAAATATGAAAGTGGGCGGAGTCAAAACTCATATTTATTTTAAGGGACTTCTTTCGCCATTTTGTTTGAAAAATCTGATAAAAACAAAACAACCTTGATTCCTGGATTCCTCTATTCTTGATGAATTATATACTGTCTTCAAAATTAAACATCAACACTATGTTAGTCAAATGAGGCCCGAAAAATAATATGATAGCTATCTACTATTTTCAGGAATTTTCATTCTGTTGTTACATTGTTTAAATTCACTACTTAAAAAAACCCCTGAATGCTGGCGGGTAGTACATCTGTACATCTTTAATCTTTTCGCAAACAAACGAGGTGCCTGAGAATACACACACAAAACACCCCAACTTTTAAATTCATCATGTAACACAAAAAACTTAAACAGATGCAATAAATACACTTTAATCATGACCAATCAAACTAAGGATGACTTAAATTGGGCCATGCCAAAAATTTCAAAATACTACTTTCTAGAACTGGCTGGGTCTAATTCCTTACCGGGGTCACACATTTTCTTCTGCTGTACAAAGTATTTCGGAAGCTGTCTTTCTCATTTCCGTGGATACCATTGTCCAGATTTTGAATCTGTAATTTCTACATCTCTGTCATAATATAAATTTCAAAAATATCCTCGCCTTCCTCTATCACATCTTCCTCTATAAGGTATTATAATTAACTACTTCAATAAATTGTTAATTCAAATCCACATGACCCTTTTACTCAAATATGACAGTTTATAATCTAAGATTTTTTTTTGCTTGTCTGTATGTCTGCCTGGCTGCGTATGGACAATATCAAAATTGCAAATGCGTAGCAAGCAATGGGGTTTGTAACCATTTTTCTTTGAAAATGAAATTAAATAAAAAGGTTATTTTTTCGATTTTCGTGAAATATGGTATGTATTTTCACTCAACATGATAAAATGCCACATAATTTCACTCGCCGTCCCGGCTCGTGAAAATATGTGGCATTTTATCATGTTTCGTGAAAATATATTCCATAATACACTCATACGAAAAAATTGTCCTCTTATCATTTAACTGAAAAAGAAATTATACAAATTATACAAATCAACTAAGGATTCACTGACAATTAGTTTCCTTTAAACCTCTTTAGAAATATTAGATACATGAAACTTATTGTTAATTATCTATGTGATTCTTTGAAATCACTTAAACGAAGTGCTCAAGTGAGATCAAATGATAGTATAAGTATTAATTACATACATTTGATGACACAGGAAATTTCCCCTCTACACGGAATAAGTAAACTTCAGTTACAAGTATTTCAATGACTTTTCTTAACCATGGCTATATGGACTGCATGACCCCTTTAACATTATATCTCTTCACTGCCCACTGATTTCTCAAACAACAACAACAACATTGGAAAAAATAAAAATAATGTTATTAAAAATCTCATAACTATTATAGAAATTTTTATAATAATCATAGTATTTATAGTAATACACCATCATGTTCATAATAATAACAAGAAATAGAAAAAAAATGAGAAGAAGAAAAAGAAGAAGAAGAATTAGAAGAAGAAGAAGAAGAACAACAACAACAACAGCAGCAGCAGCACCAGCAGCACCAACAATAACAATAAATGAATGATTAAAACACACTTTACACAAGTTTACGTATTTTAACAATTAGACGGAATAAGCAATCGCAAATAAAGAATGCAGTTTTGTTTTCGAGTATTGATATTGTAATTGTTATTGTTATGATTTGTTTTTATTGATGATATTAGAATAAGAGGATGCAGTTGTTATAAGTTATACATCACACATTGGCTTTTTGGTCTCGGCCTAGTCAAATTTCGTACTCAATGTTCTAATTTAAATCAATTTGTGACTTAATTCTGGATTCCTCTATTCTTGATGAATTATATACTGTCTTCAAAATTAAACATCAACACTATGTTAGTCAAATGAGGCCTGAAAAATAAAATAATATAATAGCTATCTACTATTTTCAGGAATTTTCATTCTGTTGTTACACTGTTTAAATTCACCACCTTAAAAACCCCTGAATGCTGGCGGGTAGTACATCTTTAATCTTTCCGCAAACAAATGAGGTCCCGGAGAATACACACACAAAACACCCCAAGTTTTCAATGTAACACAAAAAACAACAAAACTACACAGATGCAATAAATACACTATAATTATGACCACTCAAACTAGGGATGACTTGAATTAGCCCTGACCAAAAAATAAAAAAAACTACTTTCTAGAACTTGCTGGGTCTAATTCCGTACCGGGGTGACACCTTTTCCTCTGCTGTACAAAATATTCCGAAAACTGTCTTTCTCATTTCGGTGGATACCATTGTCCAATTTTTGAATCTGTAATTTCTACATCTCTGTCATAATATAAATTCCCCCCTTCCTTTATCACATCTTCCTCTATATGTTCTTCATCAACTACTTCAATAAATTCAAATCCACATGACAGTTTAACTCAAATATGACATATTATAATTTAAGAATTTTTTTTGACTTATCTGTATGTCTGTCTGTCTGCGTTTAGACAATATAAATATTGCATCATTTAAGAATATATAGCTAATTATTTACATTAACAATGACGTTCATGAATCTAGATTTAAATATTTCATACTTCTTTTACACTTATACACATGTATAACGTACATTGTTGGACACAAAACCTACTATACTTATAGGATAGATTTCAGTTGATTCGATTAAAGACAATGTGCTGTTTTACTCTTGACACACATTGTTCCCCGTAAATGTAACCTTTGATAATTATGATAAAAAGTTGATTGAGATGCCAATATAAAGATATAATAATAATAATAATAATAATAATAATAATAATAATAATAATAATAATAGTAATAGTATGAAATGACTCGATTTCTCAAATTCTCTCTCTTAGTCATACATCCGTTAATTGTTTCTCAATTGGACACTTTTTTATTGATATAAACTTCCTTATTTCCAAGAAGAGTCCTTCAAATATTTTAGCTTAAAGGCACATTATGTGTCAGACACATTAAATAATTGTTAATTGTTTTAGAGCATGTTAGATGCTGAACACCAGGAGAGAGAAGCGCTGAATGTGAAATAATTTGTTTTAGACCTTTTTACGATATGAAAAGTCGATCGGAAGTAGTATTTTTCGCGCATGCCTAATCTGTAAGATCAAAAAGAGCATCGCCCTACACAGAAATACAGTAGTCTAGTTCATAGACAATTCCAAGTTAGAGGTAAAGAGTGGAAAATTATATGAAATAGCTTTTTACAAAAACATAAAAGATGCCTTAATAGCTTTGTAGCCAAGTTTGTAATAAAAAGGCACGGAAAATGGTTGCTTAGGAATTCCCCAATTACGACCACGAACCTGACGTTGACATTTACATTGTTGTTAAAAATTGTGAAATAATGTCTATTAGCAAATAAAGAGGTCAACTTTAAAAAAAATCAAATTAATGATGATCATTATGCAAAAAAATCAGAACACTTGATAATGCATTTTATTTTCTCAGTTTACCTGATTTATCATGTATCCGATTGATGACAGAATATATTTAAGTCACATAGATATATTTACATAATTTTTGAAAATATTGAGAAATTAAGATGAAAAGTGGTTATCATCCGGCTCCTGGTAACACGTGTAAATGCACGTCACACTATTTGTCACTTCACAAAATCAATGAACATCAGTGAACATAGATGAGATTTGTATAGGTAAAAGTTACTTTGATTACAATTTTCATAATTTTGCGTGATTAACTATGTCATAGCTCTAAAATGTCCCGGTTGATTGATATTGCAAAAAAGCCAGTCACGTGTCAATCTGTTTGGTACTTACCGCCTTGTCAATCCACTTATTCAAAAGAACTGTACAATACAAATTTTGAAATTTTATAATACTGGGGTAATAAAATTCAATCTTTAACACCCTGCTGTTTCAATGTACATTTCTGTTCGAAAAGTCGTCTAATGATATCTAAAAAGTAGGATTTTGTACATGCTCTTTTTTCATTGAATTATTAGTCCCTCATATAGTTTCGTATATCTGTTATAGATACAGTTAACGTTTTAAGTACTTACTGCTTTAAGTAATCCCAAAATTTAATTGGTGAAATAATTTGAATTCACGTCTATTAAAGCCTTTAAATATGATAAATAGAAGTCATCGTTATTGCGTTTTTGTCCTACGCAGAGTGCGCATGCACGAAATGCAACATAAGTTACTATGGAAAAATCGTACTGTTAAAAGGTCTGTAAAATATAATTAGATAAATGATTATATAACTATATAAGTAGCAAAATGTAAACAAAGTAATATTTTGACTTCTGTACAATATACTGAATCATTACACATGTTTTTTATAGTGGGCTTTGCCAAAAAAGCAATAGAACCAATAGAAGCAAAAGATGGGTCAGGTTATTGGTCAGTAAGTGAAATTTTGGAAATTTTAACAGGACAATTAAAATAAAAGATCCTTTGAAACAAAATAAGGCATTTCTGGGACATGATGGGCCTTTAACTCCAGGAAAAAAAGTACAGTAATATTATTCCTAAGCATTTCTAGTATATAGAGTATATACTTAATATGTATGTCACCACTTAAAAAAGGATTGCTCTTCAATGATGTTATGGACTACTTTGTTCTCGTGTGTTATATTGCACATTCCTGTACGTATATTCTTTTATAGATTAACAGTACAAATAGATTAAAATTGTAAATAGTGTACACTACGAGGGTTGTCCCAAAATATCGTAGACAAAGTCTGTTACTCAATCAATTATAAAACAATAGAGTCGTCAAGCTATGGAAAAGTCAATACACCTTTTATGTGTGTCTATGCGAAATAAAATCAAAATACCTCCAAAAATGACCAAGTTATTAAAATTTAAAGAATGCTACCTATACATACCAGGCGCACGCCGTCATAAACGTCATGACGTTACAAGATTTAAAAAAATGTTTTTCAAAGTATTCTCCGTGTTTCTCGATCCACTGTAGGTGTCGGGCGACCCATTTATCATAACCATTTTCAAAATAGTCCTACTTTAATGTTCTCAACACTCGTCGAGTTTCCTTGCTTAGTACCCTGAAATTTTCGAACCTCAGGGTGACCTCGTAATTGTGATTTCACATAAGGAAACACTGCAAAGTCTAAGGGCGTATGGAAGTCTCTAAAAACCTATCACATCAAGTTCAAGCTGTGTCTCCTGAGATCTATGGCAAAGTGCATTATCTTGATAAAATATAATGTTCTCCATGTTGTCAGTTAATGCTGGACGCTTCTTGAACTGAACACAGTATTCAATGACATCGCGCTGCGCCGCATTTTCATCTGACGTCGCCATTTTGGAAATTTTCAAAATAGCATTGCTGTTACATAATTATTATGCTACAGATTTTTTTAAAGTAGCGTAACATAAACGTCTGTTGGTGATATGACGTAAAAATGAATGACGTCGTTCGACAGGAATGTATTTCCCATAATTATTATTATGCTGGAAGTTAAAGGCATGTTTTTAGGAAGCATGCTCGCAACACTAACTAATATTTTATCGTGCTCCGGGTATGTTGTACTGTTTAATATAAAACCCTGATAAAAAGCGTTACCTTATATATTGGCTATTTACTTTAAGAAGGTAAATTAACAAATGACCAAGGAAGATATCTGGTAAATTTTATTAAATTATGACGTCAGGTTGAAGAGAAAATAATGTAGTCTACGACATTTTGGGACAACCCTCGTAGTAAGCATTACTTTACTTGATTTAACTGATCATGAGCTATAAAGATAATAATATAATGAAAACGATCGAAAATGCTGATTTTGTTTGTTTTTGTTTGGATGGTTTCTAATGAGGCATATAAGTAAGTAAAGTAAATAAATATTTTATTGATGTGTCAAATGTAAACACAAAAATAATGAACAAGCAATACATTGATTAACACTAGTATACATCCGGCCAATGGGCCTATAAAACTCAATAAATCTGAAAACACGTGAACAACATAATAGGAATGTTTAGAAAGAATTAATAATCTATTCTAAATAGTTTAATTTCAAGAATGTACTGTATAAGAAATTCAATGTTGACCGTAAATATATTTGACAAATAAAAATCGAATGTCAAACATTTACAAGTTACATTCAAGATTAGTTGTCATTTGAATACGTTGAATTATTACGACAGATCTTTTCATAAACTATATGTTTCAACTGTTTAAAGACCTTTTAACAATACTATGGTTTATCGCAATATGACTGTAACATCGCGTAATATTAAACATGTTTATTTAAAAGTTCTGATTTCGTTTACGTGGTATGATTTTAAGTTCCGAGTACTTAACTTTAAACAATGCTAAAACGAAAACAATCATTAACATTTGTCAAAGTTCATCGATGGCTTAGCTAAAATTGAAATATATAGATAATTGAAAACGTCAATTTAATGCATTATATCTTTGAGTTAGTTCATAAAAGCCTTGCCTAACCATTTTAAGTCGATAATAACTCTAACATACAGTTACTGATACTGGTAATCCACCGACATAACTTCTCCTGTTTATACACGAATCGGTTATATACCGCAGCGCAATTGTGCAAGAAATGAACGTTAGTTTCTTTTTAGGTTGCGTTTAAGATATGATTCTTGCTCGAAGTTACTTTCAAATAGACTGCATGTTCTTGGTTTAGAAAATTGAGTAAATTTTACTGTCCACTCTGATTGATAATGATTTTCAATAGCCAATTAAAGATTATTAAATTCACTGGCATACAATTGTTAAAATTTTCTACCAGGCCTATTTTTGAAAATATATCCTTGATTTCACTTAATCAATTATTATGACAATAACGGTAATCCGTGTTAAATACGTGTTTTATGATTCTTTTTTCGTATATTATGATAACCCTGTTCCATATTCTTATCATGTTAAATCATCGTCTTTGATTTGTTGATATCCATCCAATGTTTCCCGAAATTAAAAGAATAGGTGCAAATCTTTACACTCCCATGTAGTGTCTAATAGCATGGTGCAGTACATAATGAAGCGATTGGTATTTTTTTTAAAACCCCAGACACCGGGACAATAGTCCATTATAGGCACAACACATGCATTATGAAGTTTTTTGAATGTTTTACAACCAAAATCTTTCATTTCTCGCATTTTTGCATTTATTTTATCGAGAGCTCGAGCAAGCAATTCCGCATTTATGGTGACAACATGGTTAGTGCAAAAGGTTCCACCAAGATACTTGTAGCTGTCAACAAGCTGTAGTACGTTTCAACCAACTCTAAATTAAAATTAAGTACGTGTTGATCGTCCTTTTCAGAAGAAGTGAACTCATTTGGACTTCTCACCACCGTCTACACCAATCACGAACTTTGACCAGAAAACCGTAAAAGGTCTTACCCAGATTTTGCGAAACATACTTTATCATCGGCATCAAGTTACATTGAAAGCTTCCTTTCATTTATGTTAAATCCAAGGTCAAGGTCATTGATCTCCTTTATAAGATTATTTCCGAAAATGGAGTATAATGTCGGTGAAGCCGAATCATTCTGCTTTACTCCGGATCCAGTTGTATATATGAACCAGTCTTTCCACTTATTATTTAGACGCACACTTGCAGTAGATCTCTGATAAATACTATTAATTGTTGTGTACATTTTCCCGTCAATGCCATTTAGTAGCACTTTGTATAATAACATGTCAATGTCTATAAAATAAAACAACATTGCGTTAGTCGATGAAGTCTGAAAATACTTCATTATTGTTGCGAATTATACCGCATAACGAAAAGATATGGTCCTCACAAGATCGATTTCGTCTAAACCCGTTTACTCATCTTCCATTAAGTCATTTTCATCAGGATATTTTGTCAACCGTTTATTAACTAGACCAGTTTAGAGTTTACTAACGCATGACAATAAACTGACTCCTCTATAATGTAATCTGACATTGGGTCTTTCAAAATGGGATATATAATTGATTTCCTTCATCTAGATGGTATTATGCCGGTATCAAATATCAACAGAAAAAGTTCTTTCAAGATTGCAATTAGACCTTGACATTTCATTTCAAAATATGGAATCTCATCGTTACCGCATGCTGAACGGGATTAAGCTTTCATAACAACTTCACTGATTTCCGTCTAAGTAATATTTCCGTTAAGTGTGACATTTTACTGTATAATGGATCACTAATATTATATTGACTTCCCTCATGTGCTAGGGGGCGTGAGGGATATTGCACTTATTCATTATCCCTATGTACAGACTCAATCAAACCGAGTCTGCAATTCTTATTTAATTTTGTTGTGATTTATTCCACCAGGGATCACATTGTTTCCAGATTTTCTGTATTCTAGCCTTATTATAATGCTCACGTTTGAAATCACTATTCGTGCTATTATAAACATTTATAAACATTCAAAGTCACATTTCCATCTATTCAGAATTTCTCTTTCATCACGTGTATCTTGGCCGTCCTCATTAATAATTCCAATGGGATCGATTTGCTGCTTTTTGGGCCTAGTTTTTTTCCCCCAGATTTCGTAAGGATTGTTTCAATTTTCTCCGACTTTGTCCGTTCAGCCTGACTTAATGATAAATCAAACGTGCCTCTTGCTGTAATATATTCACGACGAAATGTAGATTTTACACGTCATGTGCCGTTACAATGCAGAAATTTATTCACATTCTTTTTGTTTTTGTAATTTCCATAGTTCTGAAAGCGTTTCATTCTAATATGTTTTTCGAATTTTCTGGCTCTTGTCTCGAATAATACAGTTTTGTTTATGATTTTTTCTGTATATTTCTTCAAATATCATACCACAAAAATGTTCATAAATGTTGTCCATGTAAAACTGTGTTTCCCGGAAGCTTTCAAATCTCGATATACAGTCAATAATTGCTATCATCCCTAAATTACTTTCCATAAAATCGTCCGTTATATTTCTTACTTTAAAGCGCGATCGCTTAATCTCCTGACCAGGGGACGACTGCTGACCCACATTTTCTGAATGCGCTGCGTAAAGTTGTGTGGTAATTACTGAGTGATCGGGTAACCTTGACCTTTCTCCAAGTAAACCATGTAATCTGCAATTATCTACTATTGACTGCATTGACAAGACATCAAACGAAAAAAAACACGCTAAATATTGATCATGTGGTACACAGATATAGTCCTCGACTGCTTTTCCGTGCCTTGAAACCGATGTCCAACCTATGTTATAGACAAGTTACCGTTGCGTCATCGTAGCTACTTCACATCGTCCATTTAGAATGCAAAATTTAGCATCATTCAAAAATTCAATTCATTCAATAAAGTTGTACCCATGTTGATTAATTGTCCTAACACGTGTCTTTGGTGATTGCTGTCTAAACCATTAACTATTTCCAATAATGATCCTATCCGAGCATTGGAATCAGCTACCAAAAGCATACCATCACTGTCACTATTTATGTATATTTGCGATAATAAATGTGCAAAGAATCTAGAAGCGTCACGACCACAGACTGAACATTCCGGTGGCAAATAGCATGAAAACACAATTAACTCAAGAATTTCTCTCCTACAATTCCATCAAACGATTTATCAATAACAGTTACTTCGTATTCATGATAAATCCATGATTTTACAAACAATCCAACGCCACTTGATAATTCTGACGCATTCACATGAATTTCTTGTCTATTGTAACCATTCAACGTATTTCCAGGCACTGACAATCCAATATTATTTTAAAGGTGCGATTCACAAACCGAAATAATGTCACTTTGTAGAAAATTTATTATACTTATTCTGAGATCATTGTTATCTTTTGTCCATCCACAAACGTTAATGTGAGTAAGCGGAATTGCGCTTGGCCAGGATATATCCTAAAATTCTGCGTTAGTATTTTGGACACGTCCATTTTCGGCACGAGTGTCGTTATCTCCAAGCAATCTCTCGTTTTCATGCTGTAGTTTCGATTTGATGCGTCCTCTAGCATCATCACGTAACGAGCGTCCTTGAGGCTGATAACGAATGGCTTCCTTGCATTAGTTTCAATAAGCCGTTCTATATGTGACTTTCGGAGGATGCGTTCGTTGAATGCCGCCTTTACTTGTTGATCTTGTTTATCATATTTTGCTACTACGTACTTGAACATGTTTGTATTCGGCACTGAATGTTGTTTAGGCTTATTTCTCAATAGCAGGACATTTTGGTCTAGCAATTCTACACTAAATTTTAAAATCGGTGGTCTTTCTTGCCGGTAGTCGAACTGCATTCGTTAAAATGACCTTTGATTTGACCTCTTCGCCTAATTAGTTCACTAGTTCCTTTGCTTTCTGTATTAAGTCCACGAACTCTGTGACCTGGATTCCTCTGACCTTGCATGTTCGATTTGGGTCACTGATTAAATAACATGTAATAAAAAAGAAATTTTGTGGATACATGTATGTTACATATTTCACACCAAAGCTATATGTACGGTCATGAAAATATTGCAATTTCCAAACTAACAGTGTGATGTTTATTCACCAAAATCAAACAGATTCTAAGCATCAGGTATATATTTCAACTGTAAATAAAATGCAAATATTATTTTTGTTATTGTTGAATCACCCTCAGGATATGTTACCTGCCTTTTAATTTTGTCTTTTGACAGCTTATCTGTGATATGTAGGTTTCATAACCTCTGATCCCCTTTCAAAATTCCATTTTATTTAGTTTCGCCCATTGTTTTCTTGTTGAGGGCACACGCGATTTGTTACTAGGGTACCATATGCCGCTTTTCATGGAATGACACGAATGTGTCACATACAAGGTTCCATGATAACCGCCATATGAACACATCTGCAAATGTTTCTAAATTCAAAATTTCACCATTTTCGTGTTTAAATGTTGAATTCTGCTTAAGCCAGTGCTAGGGAGCGTAGACGGTAGTTTGCACTTTATAGTACCGTCCATGAACAGGGTCAATTAAACCGAGCTTGCAACATTTTCAATTTTGTTGTTTTGGAATTTCTTTAGGAAATCTTATTTTCTCTATTCCTTTTTCCTGTTTACTATCGTTTAACAAGAAACTCTTGTAACCTTATATGTCGTGATGTTTGGTAAGGCCATTGTCAATCTTGATATTATATTTTAGAGCAGTTTTTGGTCGGTGGCCTCAGGGTGTAAACATTTTTGCATTTTTTACAACATTATCTAGCTTTTTTAATGAGATAACTGGTCACATCCTGAAAAAAAATTATTCATGTTCATTCTCATCATTTTATGTCTAGAACTTTCATTTCTGATAATGTATGGGTAGCTTGAGCCCCAATATCCATATCATTTAAAGGAACAGTACTACTTTCATGCTTTTTCAAATCAATATCCAGATAACTGACACTACAACAAACTTCATGAATTTCAAACTGGGTATTTTCAACAAGGCCAGTGATTCAGTGTACATCAAATATTGGTGACAGGGTTAACAGAAAATTTATCTGTGCAATTGTCTCCTTTGATTTCAGTTCCTCACAAACCATCTTGTATCTCACATTCACTTTCAAGTATTTGTGCGATCCATCAATCTGACTTTGTGGTCTTAAGAAAGTATAGATACAAAGCTCCCCAGTTTTCGACATGGTAGTAAAGTTAGCTTTGCACATGTCGTATGGACACATCAAGATTAAATGCTAAAATTTTCAGGAGTTGAGTCAAAGCCTAATGTTTGGCATGGATAGGACTTAAACCATTGAAATACATCAATACTCAGCTCTTCTGCCTCTAATTATTACTGTTTTAACGTACTGTTTGGCTACTTCACCTGTTAGACTTAAATATCACATTGCTTTCTACTTTGGACATTTTTAGTCTCATCAAACTGTAACGTGTAAAAATATTTGTTTTCTGTAATTTTTTTGGTCAGATGCCTTTGTCCTGCTCATACTGAAGTATAAACTTACGGCCCTTAAAAATTAAAGATTACCATAACAAAACCTAAATGTGTATCCATCATGTACAACCTTTAACACCCAAAAGATTTCAGCATTTGTTACAAGGTCTGTATGAGACACAGTGTTCAATTTCAATGTCCTTTCTACATTTCCATCACCTTAAAAAGTACTAGGCCTGTTCGTTTTTTAAATAATGAAGTGTTTCTGCAGTGGATCTAAGCTTGCCTTTGCTAACTGTGTATGTTTTCCTTTCTGCATGATATACCATTGCTTGATTATTGTATGGCCTTTCTAGACGTGTTATATTAGCGTGAATATTAATTGTTTATTGATGTTGCGTCCTGTGTTTACATCGCTTTTCTACTGTGTGGCCATTTACATCATTTTGTGTTAGCAAATAAACTTTGAATTTTATTAGTCCATGTGGCATGTTAGTCAGTATTATTTGACTTCAATAGAAACCCAGTTAATATCAAGCATGTTATGCAGAACAATGTACTGTGTATATCCTGTGACAATATGAATACATGTTTTTCCTTATGTATCATTTTTGTGTTTAAAAGGTACATTTATCGTTTGACATACCCAGTACATTGTGTGCAATAAGCTTAGAGCAAGAGACAATTAATACCGTTATTGGTTTGAGTTTTAGCGAAATTGAAAACACTGTTTGGAAAGATATTGCTTCTAATAAAAGATCAATGTTAGGATGATTTAATAAAGTATTATCATTATAAAAGTCATTTAAAAGTGGTGTTCATTTAAACGGGAACTGGAATCGCACACAACATAGAATCGCTCAACATGCTCAGTTTTGTCTTCATAATTTATTCATTGTTTACAACCAATGAGAATTTCCTGTATCCCACAAGATATATCCTTTTGACTCTCTTGTAATATCTTGTAATATCTACTCTTAATTATTGTGCGGAGGTATGGGGTCACGCTTGGGCAGATATTGAGATGGTACTTACGAAAGTTTGTAGGAGGAATCTATGCGTAATACGCTCCAGAAACGTAGATGCTCTGTACGGCGAAATAGGGAGGACACCAATGAATGCGTATCGAAAAATTATATTGATAAAATACTGGTTAACTTAATTACTTTAGATAATCAATCACTACTTTTTAAAGCTAATAATATGTTATTTAGATAGACTGAATTAGGAAATACATGTAATGGTAATAACTGGGCTGCTAAGATTAAAGAAATACTTTATAATTACGGTTTAATGTATTTATGGCAAAACCAATGTAACATTAAAATTAACGTAAATATGATTAAGCAACGGAAATCAGATGTATATTATCAACGATGGTGACTCTCCTTGTCTCGAAACGTATTGTTTATTTACACATGAATGTAAATTAACAAGTTATCTCGACTTTATACAGGAAGCAAAATTCAGAATATCTTTAACGAAATTTCGTACATCTTCACATAATTTGACAATAGAACGCGGACGCTACATTAATATTCCTAGGACGGAGATAATTTGTTTAAATTGTAATTCTAATATGATCGAAAATGAATATCATGTTTTATTTATATGTTCAAAATTTAGAGAACTACGTAGAAAATATTTCAAACGTTATTATTATACCTGGCCTACCTTACAAAAATTCAAAAACTTGTTGAGTGAAACTATCCGGAAAGTTATTCAGAAATTATGAATATATGTAAATTTATAAATTATGCTAATCTAATGAGAAACTAACAAATATTCATCAATATAAATAAGCTCTTCAGAAAAACCTTTGACAATAACTATTGTATAAACATATGTAAAACCCATACATTTCATTGTATTTCATATATTGTTTGCTATAAATATGTTACATGTTTTATGCAATAATTTTATTGAATTGAATTGAATTTTACTGACAGGAAATTTGCCAGAAGAATTCAAATAACTTGCTGCATGTCACCACCATGAAGCACCCTCCAAGTCTAGACTTCCTTATATAATATCAAATAGACAGTCTACAACATAATTATTGATATGAAAGTACAGAATAAATAATAAAAATTATGAGGATGAAAGTACACAATAAATGACAAAAATGAAATAACACAAGATGACATAAAACAATGTATTAACGTTTTTAAAATTCTTTTTTTTTTCAGAAAATTATGGATAGTAGGGCTTTTTTCACAATAAAACGTGGAAAAGTAGGGAGGTCAACAAAAAATTAGGGAAAAGTAGGAAAAAAAAGGAAAAAGTAGGGCCCAGCCTACATACTTCCTCCCACAAAACATTTTACACTGCGTTTAGGTTTCATTATATTTTCTAGTGAACAGTTTATTTTACATGCAAACTTACTAATTATATTATATACAATAACTCACTGAGTAATAACTTTTGTTTAAAATAACGAGACCACCAATCGAGACCACCAATAACGTTCACTATCCTGTAAGCGAAGTAAATTTACATGAAAACATAGAAATAATATTTACAAGTTAACCTTTTTTACTTCGGCCTAGTATCTTTTTTAAAGCCATTTCTTGTTTCTTTTTGCTTGCAGACAATACAATTTGGCGGGACAGTGGAAATTTATCTAAACTCGTTTGTTAACAGTGGTGGACTTGGAAATAATGGTATATGTTGCGACTCAGCCTTATACTTCAGCAGGGACATGCACTTTTTATGCGACCCCGGTTGTGATCATTTATTTATAGTGTGCTTAGATGACCGCAATGGGTATGTTATATTAATTTAGCTCTAGAAGAAATTGAAATTTAAGTTGTGGCCCCTGAAGATTACAAGTAAACTTTTTAAAGATAACGGACTCTTATGGAATTCAATATGAATCATTTTTTCATTGCTTTTTGTAGAAAACATGTAAAACATCTATCTTTTTCAAATTCTAGAAAAATATTTATAGAGCTAACCCAGTTTTGTAGTGCTACACGTTTCTACTTTTTATTTGCCACTCGATATTGATGTTGCCAATCTATGATCTGTAGTTTATGAGACTATTAGTTATTTCTTTATTTACTTAAGTAAAAGTTCTCCACTACAGTACGTTTAACCACAATTCATATACCAAAAATTTACTTTCCACCATTCTTTTTTTTAGTCAAGACTTTTAATCACATGTTAACAATTAAATCTTCCTTGATAAATTTTCCCACTGATTTTAACGTCACAAATTTTTCTGTTAAATTCTTCAAAATCTTTCATATGTAATCCATCATAATAACTTCATTTAATAAATTATCTATTTTCTTTATTTTTTTTGCCATTTCAAATTTGACGTCACAGACCATCTAGCACGTCAACATGCCAGTATGGCTCTATTCGAACAGGTAATATAAATGATAACAACACGATCACGTTTGGCAGTAATATCGGTGGAATTGAAAACCCCATGTTCTTTCAATTCTCAAAATGGCCGGTAAGATATTTAAAATTTCTAGAGATAAGTACATAAATATATACATATATATATAGAGAGAGATATACAAAAAAGTGACTAGATCTAATTAAATAACCTTAAATGAAAAGATATTTAGGTAATTTATATGAATAAGACAAACACTCAAAGCGAGCTCTTTGATAGAAATTAAAGTACATTATGATTTCAACCCATCGGCGGCTGCACACTTTTAACTACACAATTTGTGTTTTCAATACATTTAGAACTTCCCACTTTCGACCGCACAATTCCAAGGGGTGGGGGGGGGGTCACGTGACTTTGTATAGTAATACCCACGAGAAAATGGCGGCTGCTGAGCCCCGGTAAGTACCTTATTATGTTAAATATAGGTGACAAACGTTTCTTAGATCAAAACAAAACCTAGCGTATCATATGCGCGGAAATTTTCTTCAAATGACAATACAAAGTGCATTATCCTACGTTTTCTGGTTTTTGAGAACATTGTTTGAATTGTGTGAAAATAGCACATTCAGCGATAGTTATCCACACGAAGTGGTATAATTTGTAATAAAAAAAAATGAAAATAAGCTTTTTTTGCACTTAAGACACCAAATCAATCATTTTATTTACATCTGTTATCGTAGAAGTCCATTTAAAATTGTGTTCGAAGGTTTGTATCCTACAAATGTTCTTTGCAAGTATATAGTAAGTAAAACGAACAATTTCTGGATAGTTAGTCGCAATAAAAAACAAAATAGTAAGTTTCACGCACAGTTTCCAATAGCATACATGTACATTAAAAGAAGTTAAAGGTCATGTGTAAAGAGACAGTAAATACTTATTTCAATTATTCAAGATCAAATATTACACTTTTGTCTATAGGACGAATGCTTAATTGATGTTTTTATAATATATCAAATGAAATTGTGATGGGGTTTGATATCACACGGTTCAGTGTTATTTTTCTTTTGCGATAGTAGTTCTTTGACTTCTGCAGTTTCAGGTGTTTTTGGCCCTCAATTTAATGTAAAAAATGAACAAATATAATTGCTTGCTATTTGGTATGGTGATGTTTATAAACTGAATGCTGATGTTTTATATGGCGGTATTTGTTAAATTTAGTCACTATGTTACTTAATTTATGAAAATATATTTAAGAATTTGCAAGAAAAAATAACTTTTACAAAACAACAAAAAAGAAAACAAACAACAACACAACAACAACAACAACAAAACAATGATACAGTGATTCAAGTTATGATTAAAGGCTCATTGTGCCTTAGAAATCCATATTGTTTTAATTCTTTAGAAATGACAAACATGTGTTTGATAATATTTCAATAATGGATAAAACGCATGATAGTATTTTATTACAACTGAAAAAGGTAGCGCTGATGTGTCGTTAAGGTAGCAAAATGTAAACAAAGTTTAGTATTTTGACCTTCCATACAAAATACTTATTCACTAAAGGTATACCAATTGCCAACAGAACTTAAGATGTTTCTAAGATAGTTTAAGTATCTAGCAAATGAGTATGTTTTCGGAAACTGTAACAAGATACCAAAATTAAGTCCTTTGATCGATTGCCGTCTGCCATGCCTTTGCAGTCTGCTAGCCCTGTATTGTCTTAAATCCCGTCTACTGTCATACGCACTGAGTAATCTGCTCGTCCTATGCCGTTTCTTAATTCTGATATTTTTGATGACATGGAGACTTCACGGCGTCGACAAGCTGTATTCACGGCGATCATGGCGTTGCTACAGAGCTTCCACGCGGTTATAATGCTTTCTTAAGGCGTTTTAATTGGCGACTGTCTGCGTTCGGACAGCGCTTCTACTGCGTTCTGTGCGCTCCACTGCGCTTTCACGGCGTTACACGGCGCTCGCACTGCGCTGAAATCGTGCTTCATATACCAGCGATAACTCATTCTGAATAGTCGTGTACCTACTGCAACTGCATGCAAACAAGCAATATTCCAGCCTGCTGCCGGTCACCAGCCATGGTTTAAAGGACATTTACTTGCAAAGACGTTTTATATATACAGTGGAAACCCTCTATTAAGACCACCAAAAGGACTGTACTAAAGCGATGTTAATTGCGGATGGTCATAATGATGGCTATAATTATAAAGGCATATATATTTCATGACCAATCTATTTGAATTTTTATGTATAAATATGTTTAAACAATTATATTATAACCTCCGAATATTACTATAAACTGATGTTATGATGTTTTATCCTGATTAGAACGTAAGTCTGAAGGTATTAAACATTAAAGAGTAAATTTCCATAGGTCTTGTCAATTTTCAGTTCTCAATTTCATTTACATAATACACGTATTAATTAAAAATCAATTCTTCACAAACAATGTGCAGAAAATAACATTAAACCACTCTGAAAGTTTGTTTTCTCATCTTTATACAATTTTTCAATCATGACAATTTTAACACCTTGTTTAATCAAATGTCATGCTTTAGAGAATTCAAGCAGATAAATAACAATTTGTTAGTCTTACGGTCACATTTTTGACTTGCATTGGTAGTTTGTGACGTATTGACTGGAATAACAGTGGTCTCAATATTGGGTTTAGATAAATGAAAAAATGAATTGGAGCTGAAACTGGTGGTCTTAAAAGTAGATTAGTGGTTCGACTTAATTGTCGACTGTGCAAATATCAACATAAAAAACAGACATTTATGTTCTTTTAAAAATAAAATTGGTCTAAATTGATTGGTGCTCTTAATTCTAGAGTGGTTTTAAGTAGGGATTCTACTGTAATATATTCTGCAACTGTGCTGTAAAGTCACAGTAAGAGCGTTTTAGAAAAATAAAGATTTTTAAAAGCATCGTACACACACAGTTTAAGCGCGGTAAAAACGCCGCAAATCTCCGTACAAACACCGTGGCTAACCATGGCGTTCATGCTGCAATCCTTCGGCGCTTTCATGGCGCTTCTGTTGCGTTGTAGGAGATGCTACTGAGTCGCTAAGGCGTCCTCACTGCGATTCCACAGCGCTCTTATATGAACGCCGAGTGACGGCGTTTGTTTTGAGCATGCTCATAATGGGCGCCGTCGGTCGGCGTTCTATGCGATGCCACTGCGTTACTTCGGCGATGTTTGCGATTTTACTGCGCTCACCTCGGCGTTCTGAATTTTCTTTGGACGCCATGAGAACGCCGCTCTAGTGTGACAGGGGTTTTACATTTCAAAATCTCTGAGTATGTAACATGTCGAAATTATACGACGATATCTTTTGTCGTAAGAGACATATTGCAAATCAAACAAGACATTCTCTTTTATTTACATAATCAAGAAGTATTCCGAAAATGATAATTGTACATTCGGATTAAAATCGGACCTTGCAACATCGACTACTAAACTTTTGTAATCTAAATTAAGTGTCGAAATTTCCCGATGTTACTATAATTTTTTTCGGGTATTTTTTAACAATTGTAATATATCTAAAATGCATTTTATATTGAATTAAGTTATGATCTTTTTATTTACAAGGGATCAATGAAACTGAAGGTTCGGGTAGAAGATAATGATGATAAGAAACAAAACGATTTTGTAAGTTTCCACCAGACTTTGATAGAGCAAACACCAGCAAATTCCAGATCAACCGCTGAAGAGAAAACTGTATCAATAAATAATCGTACGAGGTAAAATTTTCATTTCTATGCAACAACGTTAATGTGAAATAAAGTTCATAAAACTAACATTTTTAGCAGTCATTTATTCAATTGTACATGTGTTAACATTTTTACAAAACGACAAAAAATAACGTAAAGGTTAACGCATACATTATGACAAATGAAACTATTGATACATATGTGATGACATACAAAGCTTACGTTAGATACGTGGTGATGGTAAAATACACTTGGTGACAGATTATAATAAGGTAGACTCGTAGGGAAAAGACCTATAAATACAAATACTTACGCTCGGGTACAAAGACACGTGATGTGACAGACTACTTAGGCAGACATGTAGGGACATAGAAAAGCTAAATAGACATGTGATGATATGGCATATTATAAAAATAACACATGTACGGAAAATTATGTTTTAGTAGATTTTTGAGGCTTAGGATTGTGCTAGGAGCAGCGTTGGAAAATTGATATCTCGCTCGGCATTCGGTCTTGCGAGATATAAATTTTCATACCATGCAAATAGCATAATACATGGTATCAGAAAGCTGCTACAACATAATTATCATTTTATTGTATACCTACACGTAATAAAACAAAAATATTTTCAATATACTTAACTTCTATTAGTTATTTCAGGAACTGAAATAAAGCTGTCAAGATCTAAAATTCATAAATGACGGATGAATACGTAATTTTCGAAAATGGACCACGCTTTCAATATGTTTGGTTCCCGTCTCCAAATGTTTCGAAATTCTAAGCTAAGATATGAACCAACGAAATAACCTTCACAGATGTCCAATGAACACATCACCATCAAATGTAATAAGTTATATAATGTCATGTTTGATGCCATGGTGTCCAGTCAATATTCCAACACTGACTGGTACCCGGAACTGACTGTTACCCAACACTGACTGGTACCCACAACGCATTAGGACACACAACTGACTGGTACCCAACACTGACTGTTCTGACTAGGATATAACACTGATTAGTACCCAACACTAATTGTTACCCAACACCAATCTCCAAACAGTGATCTCCTCTTCATTCTTCTTTACAGTACTATAGGTAATATGACGACATTTTTGCTTTACTAGTGAAGACCTCGGATACCCATTCGTGCCTTTATTCAGGCATGAACGGCACCTGAGTAGAATCATCGACGTTCTGTCAGAGACTTGGATAGCTACCCCACATGATTGAATCCAAAATCCACGGCAGGATTCTAACCCATAACAGTGAGGGTCAAGAGTTGGAAGTCAATGGCTTTAACCAACCAGCCACAGACATCCCTATCTATCCATTAAAATATACATTTAAATTTAAGACAGACAACTTTGAATACAACAATTTATATAGCAAGATGACTGTTTCATTCCACATGGTTCTTAAACCTAACATTTTGTAATATGGTGAATTTTTGAACAAAGTTAAAGGCACCAACAAGCTTTGTAAAACAGAAAAAATGAGCTGCGCCACGACAAAACCAACGTAATGCGTTTGCGACCAGCATGGATCCAGACAGGCCTGTGCATCCGCACAGTCTGATCAGGATCCATGCTGTTCGCTATCAGCATCCGTTCCATTTAGTTTAGTGATAAGATTAGATTTATAGATAACTTTATTTTCCTTGTTTTTCCGCCTTTTTAACTTTTTTCAAAATCAATTCACTGCTTTGTCCAAAACGCAATTCAAATATCTATATATACAAGTACACTATTTTTTAATTTGTTATCTGTTGTTGCTATTGTTGTTTTATCTATTCACTTTCAAAATGTTTATTTGCGCTTCACTTTTTCACTTTACCACAAGTGTTACAGTTCAATTACACAAGCCTTTTTTTTAGTGTCCACATATTAAACAATTCAAATGAAAAATAATTCATTTGTTATTTAATCGTAATTAAAATGTTTTATTTCATGAATGTTTATAATAATGTTTTACACTGTTTCAACATTCGTGTTTTACTTTTGCGCACAACTCAGCTAAGATAAAAACATTTGAGACTTATTTTTAAAAATAAAAATAAAGAAAAAAACTCCGAAAAGAATTTCTGCTAATGTCACTGTAACATGTTGATAGAAATATCATTTCACATCTTGTTTACACGTGTTCGTTATAAGTCATGTTACGTACATGTGTGATTTTAAGTTGCAACATTCAGAAGTTTATTGTTTTGATTGATCATTCAAGGTTAAAATAAAAGTATATTCACCTCATTATGCTTTGTGACCTGCATTTCAATTAAAAGACAATTAAATACGAATGATGTGGATGCACATTCGTAACTATTCGGCCATATTCGTCATTTCTTCGGTAAAATTAACCTTTATCCGAACGAGGTATAGGAGTGTATCAAAGAGTAAATGGTATTTTTTGTCTGAAACAGCTGTTCTTATGTACGGAAGGGCATTAGTGCCAGGTGCATGTTTTTATTAACTCGAAATTTCGAGTAACTAACTCGAAATTTCGACTTACTTATCTCGAAATTTCGAGTTACTAACTCGAAATTTCGACTTACTAACTCGAAATTTCGACTTATTAACTCGAAATTTCGACTTATTAACTCGAAATTTCGACATACTAACTCGAAATTTCGAGTTACTTATCTCGAAATTTCGACTTAGTAACTCGAAATTTCGACATAGTAACTCGAAATTTCGACTTACATTGCACGACTTTCATTGGTTGCCGGTGAAAGCAAGGATTGAATTCAAGATACTTTCTTTCGTGTGTAGCTGTTGCACATTGACAGATCACCTTTAACATTTATTTAACAGAACAATTTAATAGGGTCAAATTGTCCACACATACTGAACATATCCTTCGCTTTTTTGTGGAGGCGGGGGGGGTGTAAAATCGCAATTTCCACATTTCCGTGTTAACCAGATGTTTCTTAAGCACACATACAACCATCATGTGGAGAAAACCCACCCTATTGTAAACTGTGCAATATCATGTGTTAAATAAGATTTAAATGGCGTGTATACGCCAGTTAGTCTGTCACGTTTCTTTATACTAATAATGTTTTTGTAACATTATTCATTATTTACTAATACTTTGATTTATATTGTGTTGATAAAAGTTGATAAAAGTGGAACTTGTTGTTATTTAGTGTCCAACTTTATTTGTCATCCAATGAAAACGCTGTATTTCTTAAAAATTCTGTGCGTTAATTTTCATAGAAGAAAGAAAGTCGATACTATGTATATGTTAGTGTTCATCCGTGCTGTTCTACAGAAATTAGAAACTTCGACGGGAGCGATAGCGACAGGAGAATGTTTCTAATTTCTGTAGAACAGCTAAGGGTGAACACTAACATATTTAGTGTCAAGCTTAATTTGGCCCTAGATTACGTCACTACGCGGTACTATGAAGCACTATGAAAAATAGAAGGCGACTATGAACGGATTTCAATATAGTATCGACTTTTTTTCTTCTATGAAAATTAACACACATAATTTTTAAGAAATACAGCGTTTTCATTGGATGACAAATAAAGCTGAACACTAAAATGAATTCCGTTCATAGTCGCCTGTACTTCATAGAACCGCGTAGTGACGTAATAAAGTGGATAATAATGAGGCCAAATAAAGTTTGACACTAAGTATGTTAGTACTCATCCGTAGCTGTTCTACAGAAATTAGAAACATTCTCCTGTCGCTATCGCTCCCGTCGAAGTTTCTAATTTCTGTAGAACAGCACGGATGAACACTTACATATACATAAATGTTGGGAATAATATAAAGGCATCCGATTTTACAAGATATAGTCAGTCCAACAATTTTGACAAAGGCCTCAGGACGCCATGTATTTGGCCACGCTGCGATACTTCCCTCAGATGTCCCACACGTAAATTATAGGATCGTTTCATTCACAGGGATGAGAAGAATATGATTAGTGAAAAGATATGTTCGAACAGATGGGATACAATACAACGTCTGAAGAACGCCTGAACGTACAAATTAAAGGAAGCCTTGTGTTTTTTAGGTCGGGTGTGTACATGCCATTACTAAGATTAAGTTTCTCCATCTCCATCGTTCAACGGCACTCCCTACTATATCTTATATCATCTAACTAATAACTTTGGCCATTCTCGTAATGTTAATAAGTCGAAATTTCGAGTTACTAAGTCGAAATTTCGAGGTACTAAGTCGAAATTTCGAGATAAGTAACTCGAAATTTTGAGTTAGTATGTCGAAATTTCGAGTTAATAAGTCGAAATTTCGGGTTACTAAGTCGAAATTTCGAGTTAGTAACTCGAAATTTCGAGATAAGTAAGTCGAAATTTCGAGTTAGTAAGTCGAAATTTCGAGTTAGTACCTCGAAATTTCGAGTTAATAAAAAACATACACCTGGCACTAATGCTCTTCCGTACTTATGCCTTGAACTTGCAAGCATTTTAGATCAAAACAAAAAATGACTTTCATAAACGGAGATTATTATGGTGGCTGATTTGTGCCATTCGGGTTTCGCCCCCCCCCCGCCCTATTTAACTTGTTAATTCTCGAACTTTCTCTTGGCGTGTCGCGTGGCAAAAACACGCTAATACGCGGGTGCGCGGGACGAAGTTTTATTTTATTAAACTTTGCCCCGTGCCCCAGTTAATAAGTGTGTTTTCGCGCTCCGCTTCCCCGCCATTTTGATTTTTAAATTCTCGACTTTTCGCTTAGCGGGGTCGCGAAAACACGAATGGCACAAATCAGCCACCATTGCTTATTGCTGTACGGTGATTAAATAAGACGTTCTTTTATTTACAAACAAAAGGCAAGATGATATTTAAGTTCCTGTTGTGAACAGTTGAATACTGCTAAAGCACTACACTTAGCAAATTCATATATGTGTGCATGTAAATGTGTCTTATAATGTGAGTCAATTTGACTTATCATGCTGAAATGTTCAATAAATACAGTGAGAGACATAGTTGATATTCCATTTATTTTATAATATAGCTAAATACAAATAAACACACATACCCAATACATATGATGGGGTGTAAAAAGTAAACGATGCTAACATTTAACATCTGTGATCCATACTCTAAATCACGTATGCCTATCTTGATTTTAAAGATCCTGTATGTTGTAATTAAGGATGTAACAACACAATTTTTTATGCATATAATTATTATCTGAAACAATTTCTAAACATCCAAGAAAATCTTGAATATGTACTAGAAATGTTTATCCGCGTTGTTAGTAACCGTTGAAATATATGCATTCATTTCTTATGGAAAAAATTGGTTAAAATAGAAAAATACAGAATCCCTAAAGAAAGCCCAACACGGCAAAATTGAAAATGTTGCAGGCTCGGTTTGATTGAGCCTGTTCATGGACGGTACTGGAAAGTGCTGGTTAAGACTTTATCGAAAATAAATTTCTAATTACCTCCCTTTATTTACATGAAATGTAGTTCGGTAATATCTTTACAAATAATGCTTTTTGGAACTAACAATATTGATAAATCTTCACTTGAGCATCATATTTAGGATATAAAACCATAAAAGGCTGAGTTACAGGGTCTTCAATATCGACATAGCAGTTTGATTTATCGTTGTACACTTAATTTTGGGGTAGATTGTAATTTAAAAAATCTTGGCTCGTTACTGGGCGATGGTCTGTTGCATTCCGCCGGGAAGTTCGGGAAGACTGTTGTCACTAACAATGTGTTCTGTAATGGTAATCTCAGCGAGAATTATAACCAATACGATACGATGAGATTCAAACTACGGTTTTATCAATGCCTAAAGAGCAACATCTGATCGCAGTATCTACAGGATGTCTTACAAGCACAGGTCCAGAGTGCCAATAATCTTTCTGAACATTTATAAATAACATTGTTCAACGAATAAGAATATCACCAAAATCAATAGACTTAGATAACAGAAGCTATACGAGGTGAAATGAACCGCCTCATAAGTCATAAGAAGTTTTGGTGCAGTGCCAAATACCAACTCCTACGAATTTGCAAAATTGTCCAATAGTGAATAAATCTACCCCAATATTATGAAATAGATTGGGTTACATCCATGCGACAACGCTCCCTGGTTTTAATTAACAGTTAACAGTCAGGGTGGGCATGCGATATTAAAATAATTTTCGATGATACATTTATTTTGAGACATGGGCTTGTAACGCACTATCACTATGATCACATTTTTTGCCATATTGATCTAAATTTGTGTTTCTTATGAAATTCAATAAATGGAATATCATACCATGTTTCTCAACTGTATTTATTGACACATATGAGTCATTTCATACATGCACAATTATAGGATATGTTTAGTGTATAGATCCCTTACCATGGTAAATATCTTAAATATACTGATCTTTCAATCTTGGCAAAACCATTCATCATTTTAGAGAAGATTCAAAACCAAAATGTTTGACCTGACTGAATATCTAGAGTAGACCAGTTGACCATGTGGGTTGAACTGGTCGCATGTATAGAATCTGTTGTCGCCAGCAGGTTTAGAGATAAACAACTCTATGTCATCAGTACGGAAGAAGGACAGTCTGAAGAGAATTAATGCAGTCGGCTGCTCTAATTATAGTTTGATATTAAAATCCTCAAACATAAATGAACTGTTCTGAATTAAAGCCAGGTTCTTCTTCTCCTTCTGGAGCTTTGCCGTATATGGTGACTGTGCACAGACAGATGTGACGAACGCGCAAAATGATGCATGTAAAAAGGTTGAGTCAGTTACATTACTTAATTAATATAATACAAAACATTCATTTTTAATGTATATATCTTATTTATGTAAACATTTTGCTATTTACATGAAAAGTTATTGATTCAAAATGTATATACAGTTGCTGTCAGAAAAAAACTTTACTTGGGATCCTTCATGTTTACCGGGCAATCACTTTAACCGGACAAAATCTATTCTTGTCAAATGAGTCTTTATTTTTTGCTTCGATAAAAAATCACCCGGTCTGAATCGTACACACGCTTTCTATTTCAAAGTAAATAAACAACAAACCACTCTCAAGTAAATATTGTTGATTCAGATTCCTTTATTTACTAACATACCTTTGTTTACTAGTTTATTTCATGACCTGGTCATGCGCGGGGGGAATAATCTGTTCTGGAATGCCCGAATATTGAGGCCCTTAATGGTTATTTTAGATAGGATTTTAGTATTATTGCTTCTCAATGTTATCGCAGAAAGACAATCGTAAACATATTTAACATATTTTAATGATAAAAAGTAATTTTAAATTTTGTTCAAACAGTATACCGTTGTTGTCTTTTACAAAGAAATGCAAAAATAAAACACATATAAGGAAACGGGTATCGCCCATGGGAGGAAATTCTACATTAAATGTACATTTGTAAATAAAATAGAATTTATTGCTTTTGCAACATGCTACATGATGACCAAAAGGAAACTGTATGACTAAGAACAGAATTCCATTTGAATATCAAAATGTTTCATACTTTTAGGATTATGAAGAATCAATACGTTAATTGAGTTAATAGTGTTGATTTCAATTACACCCCTATATTGGCCTCTTCGAAACAAGCATGGCTTCCGAGTTTATTTTACTGACATACTTGGTTTTTCCGATATCTAAACATTGCCATTCAATAGTCGTAGTTTCCTTGCTGATTATTTAAAGATTAATTTCAATTCACGACTTCAAAATTTTTTGAAACACAATGTCCGGTAAATTGAGTTGTCTACACGTTTTTTACTGTTATAATGCCCTACTTTAAAGACACATTTCTACGGTCAAATGTTTAATTTCATGTTTGATAAAGGAACATTTACGTGTATTAAGAACCCAAAATTATTTGGGTAAAATTCCATTCTTTTTCATTATTTTAAATAAAAGTTACAGCTAAAAAACACCATATTTTGTCCGGTAATATGTAGGATCCCAGTATTATCATTTTATGTACAAAGATAACAGACCTTAATAATATAACATGAAATGATTGAATATCTAACACAAGTAAGAGATTTGACAATCTGATACATACAACAAGTGGCTTAGACAGTCTGATACAAGCGGAGGCTTAGAGAGTCTGATACAAACAAGAGTTTCAATAATCTGATAAAAGAAATCAGAGGTTTAGATAGTTTGATAAAACGACAGCTTTGATAATCTGACAAATACAAAGTCTTAGAAGTTTGGCAAAAGGGAGAGCTTTATAAATCATACAAATACGGAGATTTGAACAGTCTGACACTCGGGGAGCTTTGATAACCTGTCAACCTATAGAGGCTTAGACAGTTTGACAAGAGAGACCTAAGATAACCGGACAAATACAGAGACTTAGACAGTTTGACAATAGAGAGCTAAGATAGTCTGACCAATACAGAGGCTTAGACAATCTGACAAATGGAAGTTAATTGATAATCTGAAAAACACAGAGGCTTAGACAAAAGGAAGATAATTGATAATCTGTCAACAACAGAGGATAAGACAGTCTGACACAAAGGAGACCTTTGATAATATGACAAATACAGAGACAAAAGGAAGATAATTGATAATCTGACAAATACAGAAGCTTAGACAGGCTGACACAAGGGATAGCTTAAATATTCTGGTAAATGCAATCATAGGCTTAGACAGCCTACATATAAAAGAACACTGATAATGTGATCTATTATATGAGATCGTCATGTCATTGTATCTGTAACTGTAACGAAATAAGTTAGTAAGTAACTATCAATGCGTAATATGTTAAGATATAAAACTATGGATGTATATATAATGAATGAACATCAGCATGCATTCTGTAAAAAAGGTACTGTAATACACAATGAACACGTAAACAATTATTTTAAACATTTGATGAGAAACATAAAATAGGTGCCTAATTACCTAAAGAAAAATATAATACATGTTCAAATTGTAGTGTGAGGAATGTTTAATGGTCTGTGAAATACATATTTTGTATGAGAATATAAAAAGAAATGTAATATCCAATAAAATAAACCACATATTTTTATGAATTCTGGAAGAACGGAAACCTAAATGATAACACCTACCTACATTGAGAAACATTTAAGAACAATAAAGCACATAATAATGAGATTAGTGCGAGTTGAAGATATGCTATGTAGTACTTAAAATTTCAGATTAATTTCATAATTTCCCGATTTTCACATAAACTAAATCAAAGGCATGCACTGTCAAGGTTAAATATTTCAGACAAAACAATCATTAGTACTTTATAAAATTACAAAATCATTAATATGTTTTTGTAAAACAAATTGGCGGTAATGTATGTATAAAGTCATCTGTATCTTCATCTATACTGCAATGTGCACAAAATAAAAGTGTTTGTTGTTGTTGTTGTTGTTCTCGTCGTCGTTGAACATGATTTAGATAATTTAACATGTAGTTTAAACTAACCAAAAAGAATTCTGATTCTCAAATTTTATCATCATTATCATCATCATCGTAAATATATTAAAGCTTAACAAAGTCTGTTGATATGAAAATTAAAATAAAACAGGTTAAAATTAATCTTAATACGCATTATGAAACAATAAAGTTTTGTCCTTAAATGTATATTTACAAGTATTTACAAGTATATACAATTAAAAACGTTCAATTTTTTTATCTACAGATATAATAATGTACATTTAAAACTTAAAGAAAGGTAAGTTTCTACCTCTATATCAACCCTTAACCTGGTGTAGCCGCAAGTGACCTGTCTGACCAGGCTCCATGCTTTTGTTTGCTAAATTTCTGTAATTGTATTAACTTCAAACGGACTGTTCAAGACGCAAAGCAGATCAAATCAATTTCACAAATTAGGCCGTGTTTAATATCCGCCGCCGATGGAATCGGGAGGGGGATATTGTTTTGGCGTTGTCTTTCCGTCCGAATTTCGTTTCCGCGTTGGTTTGTTTTGTTTTTTAAACTTTTAACTTAAAAAGTTGTGTGGTGAGTTTTACATCAGTTCAGGTACTAGTTTCATGTAAGTCATTACGAAATCACAGCCAATGTTGTTGTTTTTATGACATGCTACTATGATGCCAGGAAACACATTTTTAGGCTAATCCATGGCACCAAACTTTTCAGTCAACCAAATACTTTTTAATCGTAAGTTTGTTAAATGGACTAAAATTTGGCTTTCATTTTTGAACTGTAATTTTATATTTAAGGGATATCAAGTTTGGATCAGCTACAAGATTTGAAGAGCTCGGTCGGGCCGTTTTGTCTGCCTCTAAGAATACTGTTGGCAAAGACAAATCACTTTCGGTTCCAGCAGTGTAAAGTTTAACGGTTTAATTGTTGACAAGCGATTTCATTTGATAAATTCAGCATGTACTAAATAATTCGTAAACAAGATAAATATATAAAAGCTCATGTATATTATTTTGACAACAGGTTCAGTTTTTACATACTAAAATGATTAATGACATGCTTATGTGTACATTTTATATGTACCAATTCTTAATGCTATTTGCTTATATATACGTGTATACGTATCGATCATTTATGACAGTTGCTTACATATACAGGTTCAGTTTTTCATACCAAAATGGTTAACGACATTTGCTAATATAAACATGTGTATGTACCAACTATTAATGATATTTTCTTATATATACATGTTGATGTACCAACTATTTATGATATTTTCTAATATAAACATGTTTATGTACCAATTGATAATGCCATTTCATTATATATACATGTATATGTACCATTTGATATTGGAATTTGATTATATAAACATGTATATGTACCAATTAATAATTATTTTTACTTATATATACATATATATGTACCAATTAAAATGGCTTTTACTTACATAAACATGTATATGTACCAATTAGTCATGACATATACATACATATACATGTATGTGTACCAATTCATTTTGGTATTTGATTATAGATACATGTATATTTACCAACTGATAATGACATTCATATATATATACATGTACCAATGTATCAATTATTCTTTACAATTGCTTTTATGTATATACGTGTACATTCACAAATTATCGGATCAAATGTGCACTTCTAAAATGTCTTGTTTTTTCGTTTATATCATAATTATTTTGTTTGATTGTGCATTTGATTGATTTTCTTTATTCATTTTTTTTTCGTTTTTGCTAAATTTGCTGAATTCTAATGGAAGTCCCCTCATTTATTTTGCTGTTTTCTGTGTCATCTGAGGCTAGCTTGTACTCTGTTGCTTCAACAAACGGAGATTCTGCGTCATCTGAGGCTAGCTTGTACTCCGTTGCGTCCACACACAGAGGTTGTGCGTCATATACAACGTTTGCATTACCAAATCGATTAAAATTCCTATCTCCTTGTGTAGGCCTGCTTTGTACAGATCCAAATGTCGCCCTGTAACAACAATACAGTAAAACAGCCTATTTTCTCAGAACATTTTCATATAATTATGATAATAAGGGTTTTGTTATTATAACACTTTGATGAACATGACAGTATAAATGCTATTTAAAGCTCAGTAATTTATATTACTGCTTAGATAAAATCAGATTTATAAGGCAGTGAAATATGCAGTAATTTACAGTAATTTCTGAAAAGATTAAATTTCATTGAGATTTAAACAATGCAAGGAATAACTGCTTTCTCGAACATCAAATTAGAATTCGGTAATGAAATAAAACAACAACATTGCTGCCAGAATATTATGTTGCCTTTTTATGCCTTATTTCTCATTTCATATTTTATTTATCTCGTGATTTTACATAAATTTAGTTCTGCAGTCACTGCAATTATTCATAATGGACAGTGAACTTGGCCAGTGTCAGATAGCATATCATGATGAAAGGTTGTCCGTACAAAATCTGCATTTTCTTTAAATCAACAGTTACCAACGATTAGGTACCTTTCCGGTAGGTCGTTGGACCCACCGAGGTGCCCGCTTGTGCCTGAAATGATGTACAAATGTGCACCTGAGGTCTTTTTCAAATTGTAAAGCTCGAAAGTCACCATATGACATTTACATTGTCGGCGTGACTTAAAATCAACAAACTAAATCCTTTGATTGCATTAACTTTATACCTGGATTTCCTGTTATGTTGTACGGTTCGTAAGATTACAAGAACAGCTACAAAAACAACTACAGCTGCTATCCCAATTGCGTACCAGGGAGTCTCTGCCGGATTAGCTTTTTCACATAATTTACCAGTAAATTCATCGGCGCATGCGCATTCAAACATCCCAATACCATCCATGCATGTTCCGCCATTTTGGCAACCATTACTTTCACATTCGTTTATATTTTCTTCGCACAAATCTCCGACGGTTCCATTTACACAACGGCAGTTAAAACCGCCATCGTGGTTTTCACACATTGACCCGTGCTTGCATGGAGAACTCGTGCACTCGTCGACGTCATTTTCGCACAAAGTACCAGTAAAGCCACTTGAACATTGGCATTGAAAGTCATTAATTAGGTCAGTGCATGTTCCATTGTTCATACAAGGAAGACTGGAGCACTCATCCTTGTTTGTCTCGCAAAAACGTCCTAAATAATAAACAATTCATAAATCTGCGTCAAAGTCAAGTACCGTAGTGTTATTGGCGTGTGTTGTATGATTGATACTTAAGTATTGGACCATCTTAAATACATGCATATGAAAGCCTAATAGTATCAAATAAAATATAAAAAGGCATAGTAAGTCGAATCAAAAGTCGTAATAATGCAAATCAGAAGTCGTTATATATCGTCAATTTAATACCATATAAGTACTATTAAAATGGCAAAGTAACGTAAGAAAGGAAGAACAATATTAACCTGAATTTATTGCTGAAGATATATACTGGTAAATATGCCTTGTTCTTATATTTTCGGTGGTTCTCATATTTTCGTGGCGTCCTTTCCGGTCGCGAATGACAGCTCGCGCAATTGATTTACTATCCGAAAAGCACTCAAGTTTTTGCCGACACTTGTTTCTATCAAATACTACCGCTAGAATGCGTTTTAAACAGGTAAACTATATAAAATGGAGTTAAATATTTATAATAATGCCCTTAAAATATAGTAAATTTGCAATATTTTTGCAACTTTTTTGTGTTGAAATTGAAATTTTCCGTCCTAAGTATGCCATATTTGTCTACCTTGAGTGAACGCTTGAGTTTGTATAATGCGCAACATAAGTTTGTCGCATCATGTTAACCTATGTTCAATTAAAAATCAATAAAGAGCGTCAAATAGACGTTTTTGTCGTTTATTATTTATTATTCCTAGGGTAGTTTAAAGTAAAATCCATGCTTATTTACACTTTATAATTCTTTGGAATCTATTCCTCCATACTTTAAAAAAAGAAAACAAATTAATATTCCAGATAAAACGAGTGTTTTCCTAATATTTCAACACCCTTTCTTCCCGGGAAATCCTCCGAGATCACATATCTGGTGCCGTTGATCCCGATAATTGTAGGACTGGTCCAAACACCTCCCTTTCATATGATCAGGAAGAGGTCCTTGTCAATCATGTCGAGACTATGGCAGAACTTGGATACCGATATTCCAACAGCAAGTTGAAGCAGCTGGCAGGAGCTATGGCTTATGAAATGAAAGCCACAGTACACATCAAGTCAATGAGCAACAATTGGTTGTATGGGTTCTTGACGGCTCTGGAGCATAAAGCCTAGAAAATTAGAAAGGTCGAGAGCAAAGTCTTCTACACCAGAGAAGGTGACCGGTTATTTCAAGAAGCTTGAGGAGGTTCTCAAACAACACAACTTATTGGAAAAACCACAACACATCTACAACCTTGATGAGAACGGCTTGCAGACAGACCACCGTCCATATAATGTTGTTGCTAATTCAAATTCTAAGTGTCAGGCCATCACTTCACCGAGAAGCTCTACTACAACTCTAATTGGATGTGTGAACGCCCTTCGTCAGTTGCTACCTCCTTTCTTTGTTTTCAAGGGGAAACGATTTAACCCAGATCTGATGAAAGGCAGCTCTGTTGGCGCTAAGGGGGTCATGTCAGACTCTGGTTGGTCCAATGCTGCTATATTCCAGCAATATTTGGAAGAGCATTTTCTGCCAAATGCCAGACCTTGCCCAGAAGACAAACAGCCAATCATTCTTATCTATGACGAACACAGTTCGCATAAATCCCCAAAACTTATTAATTGGGCTAGGGAAAGAGGACTGATACTGTTTGTATTGCCAGCTCGTATCTCGCACCTGCTACAACCACTGGATGTTGCCGTATTTGGGTCCTCCAAGAATAATTATTATTCAGAATGTTCCAGTTTCATGAGCAGGTGTATCGGTCAGATTATCACAAGGTATGAGCTTTGCAGTATTGCTTGTAAAGCTTACACCCGAGCTATGTCACCGTCGAACATCCAGTCAGCTTTCCGGAAGACAGGCATAGTCCCTATAGACCCGACCGTCGTATCTTTGGAGAAGTAATTTCCTTGTGAAAGCTTTCGAGAGAAAAAAACCAGTGCAGAAAGTCAAGTCTTTAAAGACAGGCAAAGAAGAGGCCGAATCATTCCTCCTTCAGAAGGAAGAAAATATGTCCAACATCGCCTTGTCATGCCCTAAATATAAGGTCGCCAAAGACACCAGGCCAGAAGCTGGAGGTAGAGCTATCACTGACGACGACTATGTCATGGAAATTGACCAATATTCACAGCAACGAGCTCAACGTACACATGTTCGCCAAAAAGCCACTAAACCAAGTCAATAAGTCAACGCAACAGTCAAATAGCTTCAAGCAGTGGTCTTAACCAAGCCAGAAACTTACCACCTACAGTTTCTCCATCTGATTCCGAGGACGAAGACGATTTGGTCGCTGAATCTGATGTATGCTGCATGTGTAAGAAGCTGTTGCCGTCGAATCTGCACAATTTGTCTATGCTAAAGATCGTTAATTGGGCTCAGTGCGATGATTGTGGACATTGGACGCACCTGTCGTTCTGCACTACAGTTAGAGTTGTCAGACGCCATTCCACTTTTCTGTGTCCTCATTTGGCTGTTTAGATATGTTTAGCAGTTCATAAAGTTCATTGTATTTTTTTTATTTCACAATCCTTTAATGAAGTAAATATATGTTGAATGTCAAAAGATTTTCATGTTCTTTGTTAATGTTATTAGAATTATTTTAATTATTTTTTTTCCCATTTTTAACGTATTTTCAACTACATGTAGCAACAATAAAGAACACAAAAAGTATCTTCGCCTAAGAATTCATCACCGAGTCTTATAACTTAACTTTAACTGATGTCTCGAACTAACTGAGTGCAGTATAAAATTTGAGCGCGTGCAGCGTTACTACCGAAACGAGGCCATCCAATCAAAATCCCCGAAAATATGAGACAGCTTCCGAGCGACCATTCGGAACTGCCTCGGCTATTATCTATAATATTAACATCAGAAACAATACGGATTGAAAGTAGTTCTACCACGTGGTTTACAGATGTGATAATGTAAAACGAATGTATATACATGTATTTGACATCTGATGTCTGTTCCGGTACTCTTATCCTTGAAAATATGTCTGACAACAATTTCTAATTTAAATATGCCCACTGATGTTCAATTGTAAATAAATCCGAATGTCAACAGGTTGGTTTTTTGTACTTTCGGTTTCTACAGCCATATAAGTAAATATATAAATAATGTATTGTTTGCTTTTGTACCTATGAATTCACTTATTATAGGTGGACTTTTACTACATATATTGGAAATAAACGTGTCAACAACTGCCAGCATTAAATTACTATTTGTTTACATGTTTAGTTTCTTAGCGTAGGTAAGACCGGAATACCGCATCCGGTCTGTGTATTCATACTATTGTGTTCGAGGTCCTTATTCGAAGACTGACGACAAGGGCCGAGTAGTTGCGATTGCCGAGCGACACGGACTACAGATAGTGAAAGTAGAGAGGTTAGGATTTCATAAATAAATGGTTTAATTTCGTATTTTAAACAGTTTCTTTTCGTTTGACATAGTTTTTACTTGCTGTTGATGTTTTTTCTCTTCCATTTATTATTAATCTAAAAACGGTAGCGTAAATTTAAAACGTTAAACACTAATGACAACTCTTTGTTATTTGTCAATATAATGTGACTGGGTGAATTATAGGTCCATTTTGCTGGCTGAAATACAATTACACTGAATTCACATGTATCACATCATTTATTTTAGACGAGTAACAATCGTTTGTGCGCCATATGTTCTATTATCTACGGTTATGTCCTGTATAATTACTTAGTAACCTGGTAATATCTTCTAATTATGTGATTGTGGTTCCTCATTAGGCTGTATGTAATATGCTATATGAAAAACGTGAAGTATAAGACAGTCACAAGACAGGGTGAACATGTAATAAACCACAGGAAATTGACATTCTATATGTAAATAATTAAAAAATAACGGCAAATATACCCCTCAATACTATAAATAAACCAAAATTATTTGTTTACATTTGAGTAAATATTGCCAATTTATTATTATGCAATGCTTTGATTTAAAATATTAGCGGTTGTAAAAGGAATAATTTTATATTGTGTATCGAAATTGCTGAACTAGTTTGTTAACATTGATTTTCCACGTGTGTAATTAGATAAAATGTATATAGGCGTTGCATTCCTTGTGTTTATTTATAATATAGAGGGGTATGTGTATAGGATATCGACCGAGAACGAGGTCTTTCTGTTTAGGAAAGACCTGGTCATGAATTTCATGTGACACCGAGAGCGCGTAGGCCGATATCCAACTTACATACCGTCAAACTATTGCACGCCCGTTTAACTCACAACGAGTGAAAAATGTCCATCGGTAAAAATGTTGTGAGCAACTTCCGTTCCTCGTTGTGAGCACCCATCTTTGACGAATGACAAGATAAACAAGGTGAGTTTTTCATAGTTTTTAAAGATTACAGACATTTATGTAAAAATATCGAAATGCAGTTAGCTAGCGTTGTGTTTTCCGAGTATGCACATGTAAAGATATTGCCTGTTGGTGGACAATTTGATGGAAATACCGTGCGACGCAGTCACTCGGGGTAGCAGGAAAACTGGAGACAACTTCTCTTTAGACCTAATTTAACATTGAAAACGTCGATTCTGTTGACGTTTTTTGTGCATTTTAACCTTAAACAGATGTCCACAAGTCTTCAGCGTAAATTATTATCTGAAAGTCTTCATAGAAACGAACATATACCCTTTTTTGCTTTAATCCTCGTTGTGAGCACCATAACCTCCTTGTCAGCAAGACAAGCGCAGTGCGTGTATGGTTTTAATGTGTAATTCAGATGGCTCGGGTGTAAGCTTTACAAGCAATACAGCAATTAAAACGTTTTTGCACAGCAGCATTTCTTTGCAAGACGTTGTGCATACCCCAAAGGAATGCATATTAGTTTTGAACTGTCCATCTGTCAGTCCGTCAATTTGTCCGAAAACTAAACATTGGCCATAACTTCCTTATAAGTAAACGGATTTGATTCATATTTGAACACAACATCCCTTGGAACAAGACCTTCCTACGGACCTGTATTTTTTTTTACCTTGGCCCCTGATTGGCCTTTACCTTGAAGGTCAAATTGTCCAAAAACATTTAAGATTGGCCATAATGTCCTGGCAAAATGTTAAGGCACAACACATCTTTGGACAAGGCCTTTCAGCTATCCTATATTCTTTTGACCTTGACCCCTGAATGACCTTCACCTTGAAGGTCAAATTGTCCAAAATTTAAAAATTGGTCATAACTTCCTTAATTATTAGCATACGGATTTTACTCATATTTTGAAACAACAAACAGGCAAGACCTTCAAACTGATCTGTATTTTTTTTACCTTGTACCCTGAATGACCTTCTAGAACATCCAAAAACTTTAACATTGGTCATAACTTCTTTATAAGTAAGTTAAATTAATTCATATTTGGACACAATGCCCCTTTGGACAAGACCTTCCAACTGACCTATATTTATTTCACCTTGACATTGAATGACCTTCATATTGAAGATCTAATTGTCAAAAATCAAATAATCTATCTGGTCCATAAATCAAAGGACAAACACCACTTCGGGGGCATTGTCAACTTACCGTGATAGTTCTTGTTTTTCATAACTTGGTCAGTCTTCAGCTCAGGATAAACATATGTATGTGTGTATCACACAGATTGTGAAATTGTTGAAATATTCATAAAATCCCCGTGATGTTCACTCGTGCCACACTAGAGTATACGAAATAAAATAGCTAATTTACCTCCACTGATTAGTTCTTCTGTTAATCTGATGACTTGTGAATATGAAAAATATTATTTTCAAAAAAGAAGAAGAAAAACTATTGTACAAAAACGTTTTGATTGCTTTTGGTAGATTGAAAATTGTATTCTTGCCATTTGAATTACATATTAAAACCAGACAAGGACTGCGCTTTTCTTGCTCACAACGAGGTTATGGTGCTCACAACGAGGATTGAAGCAAAAAAGGGTATATCTTCGTTTCTATGAAGACTTTCAGATTATAATTTACGCTGAAGACTTGTGGGCTTGTTTTAGGTTAGAATGCACAAAACGTCACCAGAATCGACGTTTTCAATGTTAAATTAGGTCTAAAGAGAAGTTGTCTCCAGTTTTCCTGCTACCCCGAGTGACTGCGTCGCACGGTACTTCCATCAACTTGTCCACCAACAGGCAATATCTTTACATGTGCATACTCGGAAAACACATCGCTAGCTAACTGCATTTCGATATTTTTACATAAATGTCTGTAATCTTTAAAAACTATGAAAAACTCACCTTGTTTATCGTGTCATACGTCAAAGATGGGTGCTCACAACGAGGAACGGAAGTTGCTCACAACATTTTTACCGATGGACATTTTTCATTCGTTGTGAGTTAAACGGGCGTGTATTGGCCTGAGCAATGGCTGATCCGAAGCATTTGATGTAATGCACAAATATTATTTTTATTATTTACATAACGCATATAAGTTTTTTTCAACGTTGTTATTAAATACAAGATATATTTTGTATTTAACTTTGCTTTTCCCTTTAAGATAATAATAAACTAGAAATGTGTCATCATGCTACGGATGCCCCCGCATGCAGCCAAAATTTCAGATGTTATAATATTTAGTTCCAGATTTGTTTGCACAAATTATTTTTTACATTTTAAGTTCAAAGCCCTTAAAACTTTTCAATGTTAACACAAACCATTTTCATACAATGTTCAAGGCACTGAAATTATTCAGTCTTATTCTTTTAAAAATAGCATATTGCATATTTGTAGCCAAAATAATGGCTACATACATTTCCACAAAAGTATGAGTGCTGAAACTGAAAGTTCAAAATTTTTTCAACATTCAGGAAAGATAAGTTTGTCCAAAATCAAATTCAAACTTAAACTGCTTATTCCTAAGATGCATCTATATTTTTTTCAAAGTGAAAGGGACATAACTCTG